ACGTAGCCTTTCAGTGCAAGCCGACATGCATGGACGAGTCGCAGCCTCTTGCGGCAGCCGGAGTAATGACCAAGTGCGCCATGCTCAAATCAGCCAAGGGCTGATACAGTGGCTTTTATGAGTGTTTTTTTTTTTAGCTTCTTCCGTCATTTCACGAAAGCAGAGAAAGCAATTTCTAGTCGACATTGAAAATTCATTGTGAATTTCAGACTGTGTGCTGCGCTATAACATTGGGCTCGCGTAATCTCGGGAGCCACAACTACCAATGGACAGCGTTTTCTTGTTCATGCTCAAAAAGCGTTGTAGGACCCTTTTAAATTGTTGTGGTGAATGATAATGATGAAGGCATTCTTCGTCAGAACGACAATAAAGAATTATGAATGAGTCCTTTGTAATGAGGGGGAATCTTTCAACTACCCACTCGTTAAGCTATTCACACGGCGTGAAGCTTGGTGCGATTCTATTCTTCTACCAGACAATACAACATCTATTTTTGAATTCACTCGCCGTGCACGATTCTTGTGTAGTCCTTTTCCACAAAAAAAGATTCAAGCACTGGCATGGCTCTTTGGTGCAACTCTCAATTGAACTACAGAAAGCCAGAGTTTGAATCCACGCCAAACCTCAACTCCTTTTTACTTATTTAAACAATGTATGTATAATAGATGCGATGGACGCCGGGAGCAGACAACTACGCCATGAAAATCAGCTGTTGAGGGGCTCACAACAACCTTCGCTGTAAAAGGCCACGTTATGGTGATAGACCGCACGTCATTAAAAAGCTGAAACTAGCATGCGCCTACCTGCCAACCCAGCAGCGAGAAAATTCGGGAAACCGCAGCGGGGAGTGAAGTGCATATCAGAAATTAATGAGACACTTGCAACCCGCTGCCGTCGCTTCCGTCAGTTGCGATTACGACAGCGCGGCATTTCGGAGCGTCCACCACTGTGTGTTCGGCATCTAAAGCCATTTACCCGACGATGGCAGATGTTCTAGTACTTCCGCACCCACACCGCTTTGCACCCCGCGCTTTGGGGGGACCCTTTTTTGAAATAAACAATCCAGTGTGATCACTAACGCTTAGAGGCAAGTCGTGTTCCACAAAAAATCCTGTGAATAGGCATTCTGCACGAATCGTACTGCCTTGGCAGCGTTTTTGGAAGAAGCTTCCGAAGTTGCCCTGTCCTTCTAGAACACTAATGTAGTTCTAATCTTCTGCGAAGGGATGTGGCTTTTGAGACAAAACGCTTTGTGGCAGTGTGAAATGCTTACGTCACAGGCTATGTGGTACAAAATTCATACTTGTTAGCTTTTTACGAAGTCCCAAAGCACAAAAACTCGGCTGGGTATGAGTGCAGAAACACCTGCAAGTACGACTGCCGCTGTTTCTGTACGATGTTGCCAACAAAATTTTTTTCCACCTAATAGAGGTAGGACGTTTTAGTACAGTATAGAATGTTTAAGTTTTGACTGTTTGATGCTATATTATACCAGATAAATAAATTTTTTGGTCATAAATCGGCAATTATTATTAAAGATACCATGGTAATATTTATTGCATTCGATTATAATAAATTTTGACTAAAGATTGTCAACCGATACCTTGAATTTTTCTTTAATACCATGACCATGCACATCTAAAATTGTATAGACTACCCAGTTACATTGAACAGAATAAACTTAGGCATGGAAGGCTCAACTTTCAATGTCTTGTAGTTAGGGATTCTAATCAAGGGGCGACTCATATGCAACAGAAAATGCAGTAGTTGACAAATACTGTTGTGTAGCAATAAGCCTCGTGGGGTGGTAATGCTTTCTGAGCTGTGTACCTGAATCTAGTAGTACTCGAGCATTTTCGCAGATTACAAGCTTCACGGCGGTCCGGTCGTGGACAAGAAGCGAAATGAGCAATTTCACGCATAGACGTGCACGGTACAGCTGGCGAGTCAAATGTGCTGGGTGTGGTTAAACAGTTTCCTTGGTCACCATGCAGAGGTTGGCAAAAAAATCCAAACTCACCCAGACTCACTACTGAAACATACTTCACTCTTTGGGCTCACTCGCACTCGTAGATTTTTTTTTTCCCTCAACCGAACTGGCTAGAACTCAACCTCACTAAAATTGACCTCAGCTGCACTTACCAACAAAAATATTAAACTCAAACCTCAATATAACAAACACAGAACAAAGCAAATGCAGAACAGTCCTGCAATAGATAAAGTGTTAGGAACCACACTTTATAACAATTTTTCGGAAACAACGAACTTATTTTCATGTAGTATGCCACTTTGTTATTTCGAGGTTTGAGTGTGCTCACTCGGACTCGCAGCGAGTGAGTTGACTCACAAGTGAATTAGCCAACCTATGGCCACATGCGAGATCGTACAGTCGCAAGAGCTGGTGCTTACGTTGAAGACGTCCTTGCCATACATGTAATCCCACACCTGCTTCTCAACTTCCCAGTTGACCAGGTAGCCCTTGAAGAGATAAGACGAGAGGGTGGTGAAAAAAACAAATTGACAACAGGTTCAGAGAAGACCCTGTGCATACCACTAAAGGCCTGAGAAAAAAAAACAAGCGAGATCTCTTCGTCTTATGAATCGGCAAAACAAGAAAGTAATACGTGTCCTTACAGATTGCGGAAAAATTTGAAACCAGCTGAATTGGACTGTTCTAACCTCTATAGCTTATTTCTTATTTATAGTACATATTCCCAAAATTGTAGTGGCAGCATGTTTACAAGGCAAAAGCGCACGCACTTCTCTTCGTTGCAATTTCTTGCACCTCAGGGTTGTTTACTGGCCTTTTAAAGGTGCAACTCTGCTGCTTGAAGCGACCAGATAAAGTCACGCTGTCATAGAGCCGTGTCATGCTGGCAACGTGTGGTGGAAGAAATCGCCCCTCTTCCTGTTTCTGAGAAAACCAGTCACGCACATCGCTCCCGCTTCGCCATTTGTGTGCTCACCCGACTACACCTAGCTGGTATCACATTGCTCTCTTTATTATAATACATTTTCTTTATTTTTTGCTGTTGCGGCTTGAGGCACTCGGATACCGACCTGTGGGTCGGTGGCCGAGTGCCTTAGCCACTAGACCATGGTGGGGGGGTATAAGGACTGCCTCAGAGCATGGGTCAGAAAAGGTGTATTCTAGCTGCGCTCACTTTCTGAAAAGGCAGGAGGTAAAAGAGGGCTGACATGTCCTTGCAGTCATCAAGCTGGTCGCCGATGAACTGGCGACGCCGCTCGCTCTTGGCTTTGGTGATGCAGTTGGGGAGAACCCTGCAACAGGTTTTGCACACGCACTTGCTGAAACATCTTCAAACAACGAGACAAAACACATATGGGTTCCTAACAGCCTGTCAGAAAAACGGACTGTCAATGACAGCCACGAAAAATCCAAGCGCAACTCTTCCGAATATTACACTACGAGCACCCACCAGGCGAAGCAATAACTACGAGGTTGCAACATCCCAAAAGCACGTTACGATTATGAGGGACGCCGTGGTAGAGGGCTCCGGAAACTTCGACCGCAAGGTGTTCCTTAAAGCGCCCTGATATAGCACAGTCGATGGGCCGCTGGCACTTCGCTTCCATCGAAATTCGACCACCCCGGCCTGGATCAAACTCGCGATCTTCGCGTCAGCAGCCAAGTACAACTGGAACCACTGAGACGGACTTGGTGTCAAATTCCAAGAACTCTTTCCTTCCTCTCTTCTACCCTTGTATAGACTACGACCAAAAGCAGAACATTCGTGCGATGCTCGAGAGGGCTTAGTTTTCCTTTTTGAATCCTCTGTGAATCTTGTTTCGGGGACCCACCCAGTGGGGGGGACTTATTTTTTCACGCACTACTGCGGTCTACCAAATTACAACAACGTAAGCGCGCGTCTGATGTTAGCGCCCCAGTCTCTTCCAAGTGCGCTTAGAGAGCGTTCTGAAATGCACACTTGCAATACGAAACACTGAAAACTTGGGCTAAATCGATTTTTTCGGGTGCGACGCTTGGAAAAGCAAGGACCTGAATTTCAACTCGCCCGCTTTTAGAAATGTCACGATTTCAAAGCACGCTAATTGACCAGGCTGTGGAACAAGGGACAAAGCGAGCGTCTCGGAAAATACGGTACCCCAACAACAACAACACTGCGCTGGCCGGCGACAACACGGCTAAATGATCGTGCTCGAAAGACACTAAGCACGTTATCGTCACAATGCGCGCAAGTTTAAGCGTTCTGTTGGTGCATACGTAAACTAACCTGGGAACATTTTGCGTTGTGAAGCCGGCTTTTATGGAAGCCACCGCCGTTGTCAACAACTAAACAGTGTGCGGCCATGGTAGTGTGCGTCATGACAGTGTTGCTGCCTTGCGAGTGAAAAAACCTCCAAAGATGACAAGCAACTGCGTTTTATTATGTCGTGTCCTGATTAGTTTAGTACGTTAAGTACTAATAAGTAGGTAGTTTAATAAGATAATAAGTGTTTAATGCCCTCATACCATGATATTATGTATATAAAGTGCAGTGGAGGATCTCAGCATGCTGATTTGAAAGTGCAGAAAAAAAAACGCTTCACCTGAATCGAATGAACGGGCTAACTATTTGTTGTAAACATACTGTCCACTGACCGTTAGTGGACAATGTCACAGTCTCACATTTGATACCCTTACACAGCAATCTCACTCGATGAATAAAACTATGTACACGTTATTTTGCTTTTTTTCCCCCTTTGAAATGTACACTCCACGCCGCTGTGAGATTGGTTGCAAGGCGACGTGTCAAGGAAGTGAAACAAAAATGAAAGCAATTGATGTAAATTATTGTTTCGCAAGATTGACGGCACAAAGGTTGTCATTTCCGAAACTGAAACAAAACAGCAGCCAACGCAAAAACTAAAAAGTCCTTCTTATGTCACATGACTTTTTCAGCCAATCACACAACGCTATTTTGAGTTAAGCCCTACGATTGGCTGTCGAGGTTGGTGGCCGGTTATAACCAGTTGGAGCCAAAGAACACCTTTCCCAGTGCACTCTGAGGCTGCGAATCGTGAAGGTCCACGACGCACATCTTCAGTTCCCCTAGTCTTCCCTTTGCGTACATATTCCACACTGAAAAATGCGCGAGATTGTTCACATCCAGGCTGGCCAGTGCGGCAACCAGATCGGAGCTAAGGTAAGTGCTTTGATCGCTTATCGCGCTGCGTTATTTCTTAGCTGCTGGCGGGTGTGGGCGCGGTTAGGCTTAGCGGTGTGTCAAACCCGCCCCGATCAAAAACAATGTGCCTGTCTATTCGGTGTGGTTGCTGCGGGCGTACTGCCTACTTATCGAGGCTCTGTACATGATGTGATTGACGTAGTGAGCATCCTGACGTGATCCAATGCGATCTGTCCTCTAAAAAGGTAACCAGCGGAAACCCCACCCGTCCAACAATGCCGGCCCGATGACCTGGTTGTGACCGTTGCGAAGCACCTGGCTCACGGTCGTGACTTAAGTTTATACAGAGTGACGACCTTCGTGCGTTGCTGATTCAGGCCATGCAAGCGACTCCTCCCTCCTGCTGTGTTCGTTCGTGCTGTCAAATGGGGACAGCGCAAGTACTTTTCGTTCACGCGAAGACGCGGTGTGAAATTTCCGCGCGTTGCCTTGCCTGCGTCCCTCCCGAGTCCTTGCACTCGCGGTTGCCAGTTCACCTACCGTGACCAATCCGTCCCCATTAAATGTTTACCCGACCCGCCCTTTTGTATTGCTTACAGCTTGGGTTCTCACTTTGCGATCGCCGTAATGTTCCGTGTATCCTAGGCCTTCTTGCGCGTGTCTCACGTCGGTTAATCGCTACGACTGCTCGCACATAGCGGTAATGTGCTCGTAAGGTCAGCATATGTGCGATAGACCCCTTCTAAGTAGCCGGATCTGTCTCCTTGATCGAGTTAACCGTTGCTTAACTCCTTTAACCAGTACCTATCGGCCATTGTGGCCGGCCGGTCTCGTTTCCTTGTTTGGCCTCCATTTTGTCTGGCCCCGCCGTCTAAATTAGCAACGTCGCTCCTTACAAGGTAATGCGTAGGCAGACGGTCTCGCTACGCGTCGTGATGCAAGAACGGCGTCTGTATAAGGCTGTTTTAGGTGCGGCGCCACACAAAAAACGATTATCCCGGCGGCAGCCAAGTAAACCGCGCGCTCCTGCCGGGGTCCGACCGGCACTTTTCAAAATGAAATGCGTGCCCGCCCATTGGCTGGCCCGATCGGCTCTTGACCAATGGCGTCGCGAGCTTCGGTTATCTGTCGCAAAATTGGCTTCGCGCCATTCCTTGACCGTTTCCTTCTCATCCAGATATGCGCAGGTAATCAGTCTCTTCAACGGTCGGACGTTGCGGTGCGGCAGTTCAAATTTTTCCTTCGTGTGTGGAGATCCGAATTACGGTTATCGGTGATCACTATCGCGATCTTGTAGTTCAGTGTTATGAACGGTCTGCTGTGCATTGATTTCGGGGCTCCTTTTATACATGGATAACGACGCACTTCTAATTTCTCTGCATCGCGTCTGTAACGCAAGATTCGCTGAATCAGTTTTTCTTCTTACCCACCTCCATCAAAATTTCTCGGACGTACTTCGAGTGTTCGTAGCGCCCATTACGTTTTATCTTCCAATTAGTATTCCTAATTGTTTCGAGCATCTCATTGCTTCATCGTATTTAGGTCACGGAAAGCGTGATTTGCAGCTTATAGGGGCGCGTACTACGTGGGCGGTTCGAGATGGTGGGCGGTATTGCAACTGCAGCATTCCTTTCCCATGACCGGCGTACACGTTTACCCAGGAAGTCGCCCCCCCCCCCCCCTTTCGCTGACGCAACCGTTGTACAAGGATTTTAGATTCTAAAGAAGTCTTGCTCCTGGTAGCTGGTCTTTGAGGCTCTTGGTAAAGGACGATTGTGCGCAATGCTTGTTGTCTCTCATGGTGTTTATTTTGCATTTTGTTTTTGTTCCTCTCTAATACGAGGTAATGAAGTTAAGTTGCAGCTTGGTTTAAGGACACTGGTTTAATACAAGAACTTGTGTGGTTTTTCAGACGCCGTAATTTGTAACCACAATTTGTATGCCTCCGTGTAGTATACAGGTTCTTAGGCGATGATTGATTACTTTTTTTTTTTTGATGTCTTACATCCATGTGTTCAGTTTGGTGTAGTCACTTAATGAAAGATTCAGTTCTTTGGCTGCCAGATTTCCTGGTATTTGTCGGTGTTCTTGTGAAGTATTGAAATTTAGGCACCCTGACCATGTCTGCAATGGCTCTCGCCGCCGCGGTAGCATATACCCACTGCATCATTTCTTCAGTATGGTCTTTGTCAACCTACCGGACTGTGTGCCACAAATTTCTTGTGTTTTGTGCATACATCTTTGACAAAATTGGTCTGCTTCGCAGTATCCCCCATAAAACACAATGCGACGCCTGCACTTAACATTAATAAAGAAAATTCCCTTTTGTGTGGGCACGAGCAAATTATGCCTGCAGCTGGATTTCCACGGCATCAAGCCAAACAGCTGCTCTCACAGAAAGGTTTTTCTCAAACATACATGGCTCGTACAGGGACAACTATTTCGAATGAATAGCAGCAAAGTGCAGGTGAATGGTTTTACGCTCCTCTAATCCTATTTTAATGTTGCTTCACTGTCGCCTGTTGGCAAAATTTTGAGAAGTGTCGCGGAGCACGAACACTTTGGTCACTATATCTTTGTGTGCTAAATTGTCAATTCCAATCTTAACGATAAGTCTTGCATATCATTCATTTCATTTTCGCCCTTGCTAGTTCTCCCCCCATTTGTGCGCATCTCCACTTGGACAATTTGTTTCCTGATATATATTAAGCTATTTCATCTTTCTTATCCTTGTTGCATTTGATAACTCAACCTTATAACATCATGGACTGGAAGATTACGTGGCATTGCCTTTTTTTTATGTAATGTATCGAGTCAGCAGTGCGCAATAAATTTTCATTGTAACATTCATTTTCTCTGTCATCGAAAGCAGGTGATGCTATTACAACTACAAAAATTTTATAAGGGTTCAGCGAGTGTAGTGTAGGCCTTCAGCATTCTTGCATCATCTGCCGTTTAGCCACTCCCTCTGAATTTCTACATACGAGCTTTCGATATTGTTGCATTGCGGACCATTACTTCAGCTGTCACTGTGCCACGTTGGCAAGAGATAACCTGCTGCTTCGTTACACTTGAAGTGCCCACTGGCTTATCTGTAGCTGACATGCTGAATACCACATAACTGAATCATCTGCGATAGTGTGAGACACATCTGTTGACATTTTACTCTGGCTTACATTCTCAATATCAGTAGACCTAGTTCAATATGCCACTCGCCAGATATTTTCTTTCTGCATTGCAGTTCTGGGAAGTCATCTCGGACGAGCATGGCATTGACCCCACTGGCAGCTACCATGGGGACTCGGACCTGCAGCTAGAGCGAATTAATGTCTACTACAATGAGGCTTCTGGTGAGAATCTCTCCCTTGATATGTCATATTCTGACGTGCTGTTTGTTATACTTAGCCTGATTATTTTATTCCACTTTGATACTCTTTTGTTGTAATTAGATAGTATTGGAAATTGTCTGCAAAAGCAGATGTAGTGGGTTAGGTTTGTCGTGTCCTTTTTTTTTTTTTTTTCACATGCACTTAACAGTTTGTAAATGCAAATTTGGAAGTTATTTTAAAGGTAGCACTATGGCAATAGATTTTTGCGAGACGTAGATTTGTTCTTCAGTACCTATATTTATTTGTTCTGAAGTAATTCGTCCTTTATCATTTATTTGTATCATTTATTATTGCCGGCAAGCAAGCTATAACTTGGCTTCTAGTAACCGTTCAGTTAAAAGCAACTTGCTAAACATACTGCACGGGCCAGGCACGAGGGGCGCATAGCTAAATGTAAGCTGTTGTTGCACAGCACATTCTCGCGTATTATGCTCTTTAGCTACTAAACCATACCACACACATGTTCAGTGGCTTCTCAACGAAAGGACACACCTCTTGCCGCAGTTTAGATCCCCTCTTGTCAAATGCTTTGCGAGCAGGTTAATTGCATTAAAACGCACATTTCATACTTTTCCTGTAGTCTCCACTAGTCGGTGAATTTAAACTTGAGTTTGAGTAAAGTAACTGGTCCCCACCTTTGCCTCGGACAAACTTTATGAACCTCAAGTTATTTGCTCTTCCACTTGAGTTTCAACATTGCCGCAACCACACCCTTAAGTGTCCCGTGTTATTTTTACGTATCAGGATCGAACGGGCAGCAATGGTTTGCAAAGCATGTCTCACATTTGTGAATGATGCATGCAATTGATATTCGAAGGCATAGATTATCTGCAGATCAGTTGGCGGTTCTGGATGTGCTAAACGGTAGAACACCAATGAAATGTTTGCACTACATGATAGAAGCACCAGCTCAGCGCAGTGCTAAATCTAGTTTCTAGTATGGTTCTTTTTTTTTTCTTTGTGAAGGAGGCAAATACGTCCCACGTGCCATCCTTGTCGACCTGGAGCCTGGCACCATGGACTCCGTGCGGTCTGGTCCTTTTGGGCAACTCTTCAGGCCAGACAACTTCGTCTTTGGTAAGTGCTTTCCAGTTCACGCGCGTTTTGTGCAGCTTGTGTTGTCTAAGAAAGTGCTGCACACATAACATGAGTGTGCCCACTCCTTTTAGGCGATGGGTAATAAATGTTGCCTTGCGACTTGATGTCGGATTTACACCGACATATTGGTGGGCGCAAAATTACAGCAGATAGTTGCAAGCCAGGACATATGTGATAGGTTTGCGTTCAGTCGATGCTGCAAGCCATGTAATCGTGCAGGTGTGTCGCATGAGCGGGCCGCATTCATCTCGATTTTAGGGCACCCCGGCTACAGAATTGCGGCGCGTGTTACTCGTCAAGCTTAGTTCACTTGACACTGGCTGATAAACAGTTCATACTGCTTGTGTGTGTCAAATACAGTTGTATTCCTTTGAGTTTCACCACTGCACTGTCACTCGCACTTTCAGGCCAGAGTGGTGCAGGCAACAACTGGGCTAAGGGCCACTACACAGAAGGTGCCGAGCTCGTGGACTCCGTTCTGGACGTTGTCCGCAAGGAGGCGGAGGGTTGCGACTGCCTGCAGGGCTTCCAGCTCACGCACTCGCTTGGCGGTGGCACAGGCTCGGGCATGGGGACCTTGCTCATTTCAAAGATCCGCGAGGAGTACCCCGACCGCATCATGAACACCTTCTCGGTCGTCCCCTCGCCCAAGGTGTCCGACACCGTCGTCGAGCCGTACAATGCGACTCTCTCCGTTCACCAGCTCGTCGAGAACACGGATGAGACTTTCTGTATCGACAATGAGGCATTGTACGACATCTGTTTCCGCACCCTGAAGCTCACCACGCCCACGTACGGAGACCTCAACCATCTCGTGTCTGCAACGATGTCCGGTGTCACAACTTGCCTTAGGTGAGTCGTTGCGTCAGTCCTCCCTCTGTTAGCATCTGTAGCAGACTTCAAGCAACCCTTGATCAAACGTGCGCAAAATTTTTGTTATACAAAGGATGCATAAGCACATTTCATCGAGGTTGGAATGCTGCCATCGTCTCCTACAGCCATAGTGTCCTGCAATACTGTGGCGCCTGAATTGTCTCTTGTTTAGGCAATTCTGTGTATTTCGCATGAAATGGATTCGGTTCTGGCAAAACCCTTTTGAAATGTACACTACATTCAATACATCGAAATATTTTACAAAACTGCCCGACTTCAGCATATTTTATGCAACCCGCGGGCACCAGGAAAATGAGTTCACTGTTTGTGCAATTTTTTCATTGTAGATGTCAAGTTCGGCAATTAAGGTCCCGTTCAGTGCTTGCATCATTCAAACAGGTCAAGGTTAACATGGAAAGTAGAACTAAACTTTCTCCTGCGACTGAGTGGCTGGAGGGCGCATGTAGTTCCACAATTGAAGCTTGGTCCAATCTGTGGGCTGTCCATTCTCGGGCAGCTGCACCAGATTTTCTTCTCCTGAATTGATCACAAAAGTGCACTTCACTAGTGCTAACACCCACAGAATATATAAATAAATGTCCTAATTTTTTTTACTTAGACCTTAGAGTATCAATTTCTTTCGTTAAATTCTTCAGGGCAGTTGTCGGTGGTTGCCGCAGTTGTGTTTTGGGTGGAAGTGGTGCCTGCATTTGTGCTGCTTTCCTGGACATGCTTTTGTCGTTACTGGCTAGCGTGTCCTAATTGGCTAGTTCTGCGTGCCCTCTTCCAGGTTCCCAGGTCAGCTGAATGCTGATCTGCGCAAGCTGGCAGTCAACATGGTCCCATTCCCCCGTCTCCACTTCTTCATGCCTGGCTTCGCCCCGCTCACCGCCCGAGGCTCTCAGCAGTACCGTGCCCTGACCGTGCCCGAGCTCACCCAACAAATGTTCGACGCCAAGAACATGATGGCGGCATGCGACCCGAGGCACGGGCGCTACCTCACAGTGGCGGCCATCTTCCGCGGCCGCATGAGCATGAGAGAGGTGGACGAGCAGATGCTCAACGTCCAGAACAAGAACTCCTCCTACTTCGTCGAGTGGATCCCGAACAACGTCAAGACGGCCGTGTGCGACATTCCACCTCGCGGGCTCAAGATGTCCGCCACGTTCATCGGAAACAGCACTGCCATCCAAGAGCTCTTCAAGCGAATCTCTGAGCAATTCACAGGTGGGTTGCAGGGCTCGATGTGTGCGTAGCCATTGCCTATGTTAACGTCTTCATGTTTGCAAGCGGTGTGGCAGTACAGTGTACTTCCTGTGAACAGAAATACCCATAGTTTTCCTGGTACATACTCATTCCATTTAATGAGTCTGCATGCACAATGTCTGAACCAGGAGCTTAGCATTAAACGAGTATTTTGCTGGTTTTTTTTCTCTCTCTAAATATACTTTGCCCTTAATGTTTGAAGTTAAGGTACACACAAGAGCAGTTTGTAGCTGTATAAGTAAGGCAAAGAAGCTGCTGTACCTGTAGTCCATACGCAAATCTAGAGTGCAGATCCAAAAGCCCAATGATGTATTTTTACCGAGACAAAACCGTACTTTTTTTCTTCTATGCAGCCATGTTCCGCCGAAAGGCTTTCCTCCATTGGTACACCGGAGAGGGCATGGACGAGATGGAGTTCACGGAGGCAGAGTCTAACATGAACGACCTGGTCTCTGAGTACCAGCAGTACCAGGAGGCCACTGCCGACGAGGAGGGAGAGTTCGAGGACGAACCAGAGGCTGATGCCGAGGCTTAAGCAGCATCGTTTTTTTTTTTTTTTTTTCATCCATTGTTCCCAAACCCCGTCACCCTTGTTCATTTCATTCCAGTGTTTTTTTTTTTTTTTCCTTTGCCGTTCAGTTGAAATAAATTATTGTTCCAACCTATAAATGTTACCTGTTGTATTACTTCGACATGCAGCCTCTGGCATTCGGCTGTAAAGTTCTTCACTGAATCGTTCCTCCTCATATTGGTAGCCAGTTAGCACCCAAAGTACAAATGGTAGTGTGTTGGTGAAGACTTAAGTGTGCTGCCATTGCAACATTGTGGGAATGTTACTGGTGCGTGAGGTGCTTGCATGAGTTGGTGGTGGTACTTGGGTTTTATCGGGATGCTTAGTTTCATTACATGACACCAATCGCTGTGGCAAATGAAGTGTTCCACTAATTGCACTTGCAATAACATCCCCTATACTTCAGGAATCATTGTGCCTGCAATATTAAAGCAATTTCAGGTGCATGTGCATCAAGACTTGGTTGATAAGCAGAACTGGATGGCATTCAAGCAATCCAGTGTCCTGTGGATGCAATGAATTATGGTGTGGAAATGCAATGTACAGAAATGTAAAATGTAGATTTCCCGAAGCAGGCGATTTGGTCAATTGCGAAAATCGGGAGTAGGAATTCTAAAACTCAAGGAGTTCAAGAGAGCTGACGCATCTGTTGGGCTCTCCAGGCTTCAGTCGGGGCTTCCCCATTAGTGTGAAACGGTGAACTTCGCAGATGCTTGTGAACCTCTCAAAGGAAACCACAAAGCATTGGCAGCCAATCAGTCTATGAAAAGGGCGAAGTTAAAGAATGTTGCCTATGCAAGCTGAAGACTGCATCTGAAGTAATTTAGCATTTAACGCTACGTTGCAATCATAATTGGGAAAATATATTTTCTGTACTTTCATATTTTGTGTGTCAAAATTGCCCCATTTCTGGTAAAAACAAAGTAATCACTTTGCTTATTTCTCATCTTGGATGACTCGTGCCTTGGCTTTATCTGTCTAGCCGTCTACAATTTGGTGCTCTTCTGGCCGTTTCGTGAATGGTATGACGAGTATGAGTGGCAGGCCATAACATGCAAGTCGCAAATACGTGTGATGCTCTTGGAAGCTCTTGCGGCCGCTTAGCTCACTTACATATACCACAATTGGTATGACGAACACAAGTGACAGGAACGCGCACATCATGCACACATGATTCACGTGGCGTGGTTCTCGCGGCCGTTTTATTTATTTTTTTTTTGGGGGGGGGGGGTATGTCTGTCAAAATTGTTATGAGGAGATTTATCTGTGTAACAAACGTAAATAAAACATAGTAGCATGAAAGTCACGACCTGTATGGTGTGCTCGCGGCCAGTTTGCCAGCTCGATATACGCCGAAATCGATATTGCACGCCATGCATGTATTACGAACACAAAGCATATAGACGCTAACATGAAAAGCATAACTGCAATATCATGTACAGCATAATTTAAATACCGGGCTCGTTGTGTGGTTGCGGTCGCTTCGCTATCTGCATATACACCAAAATAGTATTATGTCGCGTTTACATCATCATCATCATATCGAATGACTGTATTAAAACATGAAGGACAGCTGCATGCATATAATGCACAGCATGACTTACTACGATGGATGACGAGGGACTAGCCCTAATAAGGCTGCTCATGAAATGCATGTCATGATTTGAAATGCGAAGCATTTCTCAGCGAACTTTGGTGACTGAGCTTATCTGTCTATTCATTAATATTGCCGCCTAAGACTTTTAGCTCTCCTGGTCGTTTCGATAATGCTATCGATACCGAAATTGCTATGGCATAACATGACGGTATGACGAGCACAAGGCACCAGTCATAACAGGAAAATCGTGACATGAATGTCGTGATTTACATTTCATAGTCTTGCTGCTCTTGCAGTGGTTTCGTTCGCATTACATATTCCAAAACATGTATGGTATGACGTGACTGCATGGCGAACATAAGTGACAGACTCTATAACGTGAAAATCATGACATGCATGTCATGTAAGCCATGAGTGATGGCGACACGCTACGCTCGATCATGGTGCTCTCGTGGTCATTTAGCTAGCTTCACATATAACCGAATTCGGTATTACGGGACGGCACGTGAATAGATGACGAAGGTATATGAGTAGTGCAAACATGATAAATCATGAGATGCGTAGCATGTAAGAACATGACTACATTCCACGCTCATGATGTGCTCGCGGCTGTTTCGCTAGCTTCACACATGCCAATTTTGGTATTACGTGACGCGAACGGACGACGAAGGTAAATGACACGTCCAAACATGATAATCGGAACATGCGTGTCATGTAAAACATGCCTGCATGGTATACGCTCATAGCGTGCTCGCGGTCGTTTCGCTAGCTCCACATATATCAAATTTAGTATCACGTGACGTGAGTAGATGGCGAAGGTAAATGACACGCGCAAACACGATAATCATGGCATGGAAGTTATGTGTGGCATAATTTACGTCTTTGTCGTAAAGTTGTGCTCATTTAAAAGTGACATATGAACCTTCCTCATTGGCGCTTCGCATATCACCGATTCTCACTGTACGTGGGATATGCCAATTTTTTTTTTCGTGTTTTCTTCTTTCATGTTCTTCATACAGTCACCTCACGCAGTACAATGTTGTAGAATTTCAAGGTAGACAACTGGGTGCTAACCCACCATGGGCGCAGCATGCAAAGTAGTGTGGTTAACTTGGTGAGAAAGTCGCTAAGTTTAGCGTCTTTTCAGTCGTGCTAGTGACAGTTTTGTTTCTTGAGAGTCCTGACGACGTTCTTGTGGGCTTTCAAACACAGTGGAATTCTCGGAACGAGCTTCAATAATTCAGGCCAAAGCGTACAGGATCCAGGGGCTTGTGGTGCTGCGTTCTTGAGCGTGCAATATGGCTGCTACGAGCACTGCTTCCGCTCTAGTTAGACATGGGAAAACAGCTCAGATAACTTCGCAGTTCATCGCGAACAGGTGGACTACTAGAGCTGCTCGCCGATTCGCAGTGGCGTATACAGGAGGTAGCTGCGCAGTCAACTTCTTCGACACCACAGAAATAGGTTTAAAATATTATTTCAATTAAAATAATGTCTTCGCGTGCTTTATCAAGCCAAAAAGTAGGCCCTACCGCGGTAGTCTTAGTGGCTTAAGTACTCGGCTGCTGACCCACAGGTCGCGGAATTGAATCCCGACTGTGCTGCTGTATTTCCGATGGAGGCGGAAATGTTGCAGGCCCGTGTGCTCAGATTTGGGAGCACGTTAAAGAACCCCAGGTGGTCTGAATTTCCGGAGCCCTCCACTACGGCGTCTCTCATAGTCATATGGTAGTTTTGGGACGTTAAACCCCACACATCAATTGGTGTAGATCACGAACAAAGCTCAAGGCAAGAAAAGAAACTTCATACAGACACAAGAAGATGCAATAGTTAAGTTATAAATATTCCCAGCCAAATTCACTTTTGGGGGCTTCGCGCGTGCTTGGGTATGACGCTGAAAATGACGTAACAGAACACCGCTTATGCCGGAGACCACTCGTGACACCGATGTTGAATGTTTTTTTTTTTTGTTTTTCCCAGTTGTATACAGCTTTTGCTGTAAATGTTTCTATGTAACTAGATGGCCCGGAACAAATCAAGGATATACATGTACCTGTTTCCGACCAAGGAGGATTAAAGAAAAATTGCTGGAGTGGAAGCTCCCGCAATTTCTTGCCAGCAGAAATAAAGCCACCTTTTGCCACTGCCAAGATGGCGGAAACATGTTCTTCAGATCAAAGATCAAGTGGCTTTGATATTTTATGTAAATGCTACGTTAGTTCTGTATTAAAAGATAGTTGTTCCCGACGAAATAACGCGCAGAAACGAGTATAAATAACTGAATCTTCAAAGAACTTTGCCTCCAATTAGAGGCTCACTAAGGAAAACTAGTAACTGTAAGACGCACTTGGAACACTATGTGACCCGAAAAAGTTCACACATTAAACTCGTTGGGCGTGCGAAGGAAACGCTTCGTTTTTATTCGCTGAACGGTGATACTTTAATATGACCCTAGTAAAATGGCCGCCACAGCCATCACCTTGCCAGAGGAACGGCTTCACTTTTGCGCAATAATTTCCACTCCAGCAAATTTTTTTTATCCTCCTTGGTCCCGACAAGATCGGCATGAGACTCGGGACGTGTGAAAAATCCGGAACAGCTAACTGGTAACCCTAGTTGTGATGCGGGCTTTGAGTCACTTGAGCCATGGCTACCGAACTTCAACTCATTTTGAGCGCCACGGTATCGGCAGTTGATGACGTGCACAGCACTTAACTGCTACACGTCATATAAAGGTAATTGCATCGAACTAACTTTCAATTGTGCAGCCAGATGCCATTTGCGAAATGCTTGTCGGGCTAGCAATCGAATAAGGAAAAGGGCAAGGAATAGTTGCTAATGTGATAAGTAAGCTGTCGACCTTATTGAAGCCAACAGTGCCCATTGGAGCATTGCATCCAAAAACCTTCCTCTTGCTACGATGTCCAACTCGTTGTTAGGGCCTTGATATACAGGCCTACGGGACGGCTTTAGCTCTCCCATAGTAGAGTACCTAGTACTCTAAATCGTTGACCACTTTTTCTAAACACACTCGTTGGTTGAGTACGAAGTGCTCAAAATCGTTCAACAATTTTTTAAACACCCCTGTTGGGTGCGACGTTTCTAAAGGGAACGGCTTTCTGCTCTCCCATAGTAGAGTACCAAGTATACACTAAATCGCCGAACACTTTTTCTAAACAACTCGTTGGGCGTGTGAGGAAAACGGTCCTTCTTTGTGTCATCATCATCAGCCTGACTACGTCCATTGCATGACAAAGGCCTCTCCCATGTTCCGCCAGACAACTCGGTCCTGTGCTTGCTGCTGCCAATTTATACCTGCAAACCTCTCAATCTGATCTGCCCACCTAACCTTCTGCCTCCCCCTAACCCACTTGCCCTCTCTGGGAATCTAGTTAGCTATTTTTATTGACCAGTGGTTATCCTGTCTACGCGCTACATG